ACTTGTGGACTTCAACTCCCAGAATTCCTCAGCTGAGGAATTCTGGGAGTTGAAGTCCACAAGTCTTAAAGTTGCCAAGGTTGGACACCCCTGCTCTAAATAGTGTTTCTCGATTTCTGCATGCTGGCAGAAGAATACTGGGAGTTGAATGCTGGCAGAAGAATACACACATCTTAAACTTGCAGAGTTAAGAAACACTGCCGTCGATTTCATTAAGGGCCACATCAGGGTTGTGTTTGACCTCGGGGGGGAAAGGGGGCAGGGGGGCATTGACAGCTCAATGTCACTCATGTCGGGGGCGCCTGTGGTGGCCAAGTGCTCTGCCAGAGAAAATGGGCTCCTGAGATCTGTTTTTGGCTGCCACCGCCTCCTTGCAACCCTCTGCCAATGAAAACTGAACTCAGCGAGGGCTGTGGGTGGGAGAGCTGCATGCCGTTTTCATTGACAGAGGGTTGCAAGAGTCTGTGGCAGCTGAAAACGGAGCTTGGGAGCCTGTTTTCGCTGGCAGAAACACCATAGACTTGTCCTTCACTGTTTCCAGGGCGGCCCCGCAGGCCAGATCTAAGTACCCTGAGGGCCAGATCTGGCCCACGGGCCTTGAGTTTGACACCCCTGCTCTAGAGCTTTTGAAAAGCACTTCTGAATTCACATTGGACAGCTCCGGTAGTTACAGCAAGTCCTCCTGTTATTACACATTGTGGCAGGGAAGCACACTTCTCTATCTGTTCTTTCTGCTTTATGTATTAATACATCCAGGGTTGTGCTTGTTTTATGCCCGGTTGGAAAAACTGGATTTTGTCGCCAAAATAATTAAAAGTCTATGATGAAAACAGTAAGGAACTATCTATAGTCTTCTCAGCTCCAAAGGTAGTTCAAAAACATCTACTGCGTGTAAAAATGCAGGATAACCTTGTTGAATCTACTTTACAAACAGTAATAGGATTCAGACTAAAGACCATAAATATCTTCTAGGCAGTGTGGAACAATTTGTCTACCAAGAGAATGAGACAAGATGGAAGAAATTGGCAGCCTAAGCCATGCTCAGTGCCTATCCATAGCACAGGAAAAGGATCAAAGCGAGAACCGGAAATGTATTTTTTAAAATCCATTGAGAAGAAAAGTCAAAGATAGGTCAAGATCATACAGATAGAGATAAAGGACCATTTATGAATTCAATGTCTTCATAATTATATCACTGAACAACGAACAAATACAAGCTCAATTCCAGGTCTAATATGCGAAGTGTTTAGATAAACTATCATTCTGGACCCCACCAGCTGACATTTCCTGGGTACAGTGGAAGGAGCATGTTCTTCTTGCTGATCAGGTAGGGCAAGCATAAACTGGGGAGGGACAGTTCCATAAGTAAACCAGTCCTAAGCTACGAAGGGCTTAGCCTATCTCTTCTGGCTAGATCTTTATAGTCTGATGGCTCCATCTTCAAAGGCTAGAAAGCTGGATTGCTGGGAATCTTGGTCTCAATATGCTAAAGGTTAAAGGTAGGTTTGTTTGCAATAAAGCCAACCACAAATTGATGGTGAATGAGATAGCAGACTTTGGGGGCACACATTTCTGAAACCTGGTCAGAAGAAGGCAACAGTGTCACCTTGTCTAAAATCTGTTCAGCTGTGTAACAATCCCTTTATCATAATTTGAAGAAAGCCAGGGATGGAGGTGGGAATACCTATTAGATTATCTGTAGCCAAAGACTCTGCTCTCAAGATACTGAGGTGGGAGTGCCTATCTGTTATGCTGGAATGCAGAGAAGTTTGGAATCTTACTGATATATCAGCCATCCTCCTGCCCAGCAGGCTTCCTCAACGGACTGCTGGAATTGGTCTCTGGACTGGTGTGGAGAAACACTATCTTCTGATCAGGGACTTCAGCCTCCTACTTTGGAAACTGGCTCTGGGAGTTCATGGCCTCCAGGGCAATCATGAGTTCCTCTCAGATAATCTCAAGAGTTAATAAAGATGGATAGTCCTATATTACACATCAACAGCAGATCTGGTGATGGAGGAACGTTCTATTTCCCCCTGGCTATAGCCATTTATTTGTATGGGTTTGGGGTTTTTTTCCAGGAAACCACCAAAATACGGCAGAAACTGGCAAAAAAAATATCATGAATTGTAGTCATGTGACCACAGAATGCTGCAACCAGTCATAAAACTAACCCACCCGACATATAGTCATGTGACTAGGGGAGCAATGTGACCATTTATGATAGCCAGGCATACTTTATGGGCCATAAAGCATCCATTCCATGGTCATTATAACTTCAAGCGATTGTAAAACGACCCATCTTTAAAAGCAAGGATTACCTGTATCCAAGACATTAAAAAAGGAAAAAAAACAGACAGGTCCATATCAATAGTATACCATTACATTTAATTAAGATTTTAAAAGAGAAAGAACTGTAGACTGACGCTTTCCCTTCCACCATAGAATGAGGGCAGCATCTTCGGTAGACTAACTGTTACTATCTAAATTCAGTCAAAATTCAGCAAAACTTTTCATAAATGGAGGAAGGAAAGGGTCTATGACAGAGGAAGATTTGTTGCTGCATGTTTAAGAAAGAAGCTAAATTCATCACAGTGACAGGGCAGAGTGTTGGCAGAGATTTGAGCTATTTATTCTTTTAGGAAAATCCTATAAAGAATGACACGAGGAAGCCTCTATCTGCAGTCTTGTTCATCACGTTGGTGAGGAGTCTGATAACAGATGTATGCAGTAGCATGATTTAGTGCCGGGAGCTGGCCCCTGATGTGTATTAATACAGCAGCAAAGCGGAACGAGCTTCTCTTCATCACTCATCTCTATAAAAGAGGTGGAATCCGAGATGGCCTGATGTTAGGCAGAGCAAGCCCATTTGTTCTGCTGACTGATGGAGCCAGCTCAGGCTGTGTCCTTCACCTCGGTGGGGCACTCAGGTTGCATAAAGGAGTTCACTGAAGCAGGACCTGGTCAACAAGTGAGTTGAGAGCAATCCAGCTCAGACGGAGATCCGTGCTGCTGAAGGAACATCCTTGCGTGTGTTACAGACTCCCTGAACTGAAACCTGGGTCTGAATTCTGATTCATGGCCAACTTTTACTGAAGCCACAAGAATTTGTCAAAAGAAAACGGCATCCGCAGTGAAAGTAAGTTGCCGTTCATAAGCTAATCGGAGGAACTAGGCAATGAATGGTGACTGAAACAAGCTGCAGAGAGAGGGAGGGAGAGGGAGAGAGGGAGAGAGGGAGAGGGAAAGAGAGAGAGAGAAAAAGAGAAAGAAGGATTGTCCAATAATTAGGGATGCTCATCACACAAAATACAGAAATGTATTTTGCTTTCTTGGAATAACAAAGCATTCAGTCACACTTGAAAAAAAAGATTCACTTATGACCATAGAAAATGCCGCCCCCCCAAATCAGGAACCAAAAGAGACCCCCAAGTTAGTTTTTCAGGTAGAGTTTATAAATTCTGCTTTGTCTTTCTTTCTTTCCTTGCACTCTACTCCAGTGATCTCTAACCGGGTCTCTTTGCTGGGATTTAATACTGTTTGAATAAATGATGCTGGATACCCGGCAAATGTAAGATCGCTATTCCTGCACTGGCTGCTGATGTGTTTCCAGGTGCAATTCAATGTGCTGGTTGCTACTTTTAAAGCCCTACAGGGCCTGGGACTGGGTTACCTGAAGGACTGTCTTTTCCAAGAGTTTCTATCCATCCAATCTGGTCCAACAGATTGGACATGCTGCAGATTATATCAGCCAAAAGTGTCTACTGGCAGGAACCAAAAGATGGACTTTGTACAACACTGTAATTGTACAACACTGTACAATGACTGAAACAGCCATGTTGGCGCAGTGATTAGAATGCAATATTGCAAGCTAAATCTGCCCACAACCAGGAGTTCAATCCTGACTGGCTCAAGGTTGACTCAGCCTTCCATCCTTCTGAGGTGGGTAAAATAAAGAGCCAGATTATTGGGGGAAATATGCTGGCATTTGTAAACTGCTCAGGGCTGTAAAACAGCGGTCGCCCACCAGTGGGCCACGGCTCACTGGTGGGCCGTGATAAAATTTTGGTGGGCCGTAGCATGCTGAGACGGACAGGCAGGGCAATCCAGCAGTCTCCCGTCTCGTGGCTGCTGCCTCCTGCCTCAGCGCATCCAAGAGGCCGAGCAGCAGCAGGAAGAGCGCGGACCTCCTGAGCCGCAGGAAGCAGCTGCCCTCAGGTGGAGATGTTGCGAGGGGGAGTCTCGACCCCCTCTTCCTCCTCACCAGAAGCGCTCACACGCTCAGCAGGAAGGAGGCAGCTTGTTGGGGGCCAGAGGGGCAGTGAGTGTTTTGCGCGTGAGTGCTTCTGTCGAGGAGGAAGAGAAGCTTCTGGGGAGGTCGACATCTTGCAACATCTTCCCTTGAGGGCATCGCTCAACCTCCTCGATGTGCGGAGGAAAGAGGCAGGAGGTGACACTAATTCAGAGGATCCTTTCCCCTCACCCCTACCCCCTCGCAGGCTAGGCCTATGCATCGGTGTCAGTTTCCTTATCCCTCTTGGTGCTCTGCTCTGCTGGCCCCCCCCCTCACGGCCCCAGCCATCGCTGCCCAGGAAAAGCACAGGAAAAGCTAGCAGAAACATAGCTCTTGCTGGGGCGAAAGAGCTCAAATCAAGAAGGCACAGGCAAGAGAAGACGGAAGCTGCCACCTTTGAAAAGCGCTGCTTTCTGTTGCCTGTGCATTCCGATCTCCACTCTTTCGCCCCAGCGAGAGCTGTTTCTTCTCGCTTTCTTTTCTGGGGGGGGCAGCAGAGACGTCAGGGTTGCTCTCCCCCCTCAGCACACCAGGCCTGGAGGAACGCAAAGAACGAACACACGTTTCCAGTGCTCTCTCATCTGACCCCAAGTAGGATTGAGTGGTGGGAAGGGAGCAGGGAGAAGGGTAGGAGGGAAGAAGCCCGACTGGCTTTCCTTTGGCATGGGGAGGGGGGAGAACAAATGCACAGACCAAAAGAGGGAAGACAGCTCCTAATAACCAGCCCGTTTGTGCAAGCGAGAGCTCAAGCTTTTCTGGGCTTGACACCCCTCCCCCACCCTTTTGCCTCCACACAGGGAGGGATCCTTCTCTGCTTGGAAGCAGCGGGAGAAACTTGGAGCTTAGCTTCAGGGAGTCCTCTTCTTATATGAAGGCCAAAGTGGGAGGGTGTTGCCTGGTTATTAGGCAACTTCCAGCCCGGCCCTCCTTCCCTCCCCCAACTCCAGGCAGCCACACCGGCAAAGGAGGCAGAGGTTTCCTCTGGCTTGAGGGAGATATGAGATGGCTCTGCTTTTCTTCTGTTTGAGGGGGAGCCGGTTCCTCCCCGTCCAGATCTTCCCAGCCTCCAGACACCATGTGGCTTCTTAAATCCTCCCTCTTCCCCCCACAAAGGATGAGAGAGACCCCTCCTTTCCCTTCACTTTGTCCCACAGTTATGATTAAGCATTTACAATTTTGTTATAATTAAATAAGCATTTTTATATTATATGTGTGTGTGTGTGTGTGTGTATAAATTAATTTTTTAATATTAAATTTATATTTAATATAAAAATAATTTTTTACATTAAATATATTATCTTTAAAAAAAAAATCGTATTAGTGGTCCTCGTGATTTAAAAGTATGAGTTTGGTGGTCCCTGAGGTCGAAAAGGTTGGCGACCCCTGCTGTAAAACACTATAGAACAGTATATAAGTCTAAGCGCTATTGCTACAGCTACCACTTTTGGCTTATGTGGCCTGCTCCTTGCTGTAGCTTTAGAAAGTTATACAAAGATGGCTGTCTTGACAAGAATTTGGGCACTAGTGATGGTGACAGGTTGCTTTTTTATTGGGGAGGGTTTTCATTGTGGTAGATCTGATTTATGAGGTTCTGATTTTAAGGGGAGTGACAGGATATTTGGATTTTATGTTATGCATGATACTGTAAGCCATCTGAGTTATTGTGATTGAGTGATATAAATCTAAATAATATATGAATCAAACAAACTGCAGCAGGAAAGGTTTTAGTTCATCTCCCCATAACGTCTTCCTTTCACATAAGCTGTACTCTTTAAAGGTAGTTTGGCATGATCAAAATATAATGGCCTGTGTGTCATCATTTTTTTGCCCTAAAAACAGAAATCTTCCATTTACATTAAATGTTAGGCATTTGTACTTCTCTTGGATTCCTTCAGACTCTCTCCCCTTCTCCATTCCTCAGCTGTTTTGAGGGTGGTTTGAATTTCACCAGCAGAATGATAAAATTGGATGCAAAATGGATACACATTTAAGTCTTTCCTCAGCCATGTAAACTCACTGAGCAACTTTAGGCCAGTTGGTTTTTTTCTCAGCTCTTTGTCCAATTCAACACTTGTATACTAATAGTCCTCAACTTATGATAAAACACTTAATGACATTCAAATTATGACAGCCTCAGGGAAAAGAGCCCATCCAAAAGTTATAACTGTCATACTACTCATAGTCGTATGATTATACTTCGGGTACTTGGCAATCACCTTGCATTTATGACTTACTGCAGCATCCTGCAATCACATGATTGCATTTTGAGACTTTTTTGGAATTTTCTGTGGGCTGCTCTGCTTATGTTCTGATGTCATCTGAAACCACATCATGCTATTAGCAGAGTCCATGATTGATAAATCACAATGGCTGGCATTGTACAACATAGTTAACCAAAGTAAAATTGACCACATACAGCAACTGTGTACAATGTGTAAAACTGGCAGAGATTTCTTGCCATAAATGGTATATTATGTGAGCAGGAAATCCAGGCAAAAGTTTAAGTACCCCTATATTAAACAAATTCTGAAAAAATATATCTTCACTGGGAACAGATCTCTGCATGATATGATTATTTATTAATTTTTTTCTGACCCATCCAAGTCATAGGGATGGCACCGCACAGTATATTTAGGGTACCCCTAACTATTTTAAATCTAAGCTTCTCCTAAACACAGTAAGGGCATTAAATTCTATGGCTCATAAATACAAACTCCTTGGTACTGTCACACAAAGGAACTTTGGCAGCATTTTTCATATACCAGTATGTTAATATTTGCTCATTGATAGTAATATATTTCATAATATAAAATGATTTTATTAAATTGGGTCCTTTTTAAAAAAAAAAAATAGGCACCATGCAAAATAAATGACAGGAGTCTAAAATATTGGGAAACAGATTGGGAAAGACTTGTCTAGATTACCTTGGGATCTCATCATGCTTCCTGTAGCAAGAACTAGCACTGTACTTTAAAACACAATATAATTTTTCCTAGTAAGTATGATGTTCTTCAAAGTGCCCAGATACTGACATTAAAAAGCCATAAATATCCTACTTTTCTAAATCAAAATCTTTCTAAGGAACCATAACTGGTGGCTGGACAGGTTAATCTTAAAGGAAAACAAATTTTGTGGGAAGCAACACCACATTGTGCAGTGCAGCTGAATTATGTAAAACGAGTCAAGTTTGCATACATACAACATACACATCTTTTACCATACAAAATAATTTGCTTCTGTGAGCTACAAAACACAATGTGCTGGGAAGGCTCCAATTACTGCTGACATCTGCGTTTTCATCAGGCACTTTTCAAACATTTGCAAACCAACAGTTACTATCAAAAGGGCAGTTTCCAATATTAAATTTGGCATTTGTATATAACAAATGAAAAATTGATATAATATTGCCATAGGATGCCTGCCTTTTAATATGGTCAAAAACAGTTGAAAAGGCAGATCTCTTAAACTGTGGATCTTCTCATGAATTTCAAATAATTTTCCCTCCAAAACTGCCACAGTCCATATCACTACCACTGAAGAAAGTTTTACCTGAGTTGGGGCTGGAAAGTGAGGCTGTTGCCATGACTGGTTTGCGTTTTCTCTTGATATCCCTTGAGCATGGTGGTCCCAGATGTATATTAGTCTGCCTAAGGAATGAATAAACTATACCAATTAGAAAAAGAAGCCAACAAACATCACACTGATGGTCTTTTAAAAGGAAATGCATCAGCCAGATAATTTTTAATTAGCATTTACCGTGCACTATTTTTATAATATAAGAACAATTGTTTTTATTAATTGATTGATTTGATTTTAGCCTGTTTCTTTGCTGAGCAATGAATGCAGCAAACAAAATTTAAAAAGATTTTAAAAAATCAAAAACTTAGATTAAAGCTAATAATCTAATTATGAGTATGGAGTATGGAGTATGGAGATTTTCAGTCATCCAGGTCATTCAGCTCTTAGAGCTGAAGAAGCTTCTTGGATGAGAAGCAAAATGTCTTAAAAGAAAAACAAAGTCCAATTGCCTCTTGAAAAAGCACCTTTGGGATAACAATCTAATAATGCTAACAGTATACAATATAGCAAAACCTTACAAAAGAAAGGGGACTTGAGAGATATTCTACATTACTGAGGGAGTAGGAAGCAAAAGCAACCTCACAGGGAATGTTTTCCATAGCACTCTTCCAAAGAGCAGAGATACTGTACATTTCCTATCCTATGAAGAAACAATTAATGATAATGCACTGCCAGACACAACACCACTGTTTCTCATGGGACCCAAGGTCATCTCCACAGGTGTCAGATGAGAATGAAGAGGAGTGCCTAGGGAGCCCATCAATGAACCTAATTGGACAATGTGACCTGTGACACTTGGAGAGGGGTTCATTTACTATTATAACTATATTGAAACTGCAGGAAATAGTCACAGTTGGTTTTACACTTAATGGTGCCAATATGATGTGCCCAATAAAGTTATTTGAGAGAGATCTGAGTCTCAGAGTTCTGATTTGCTTGGGCTCCTTAGTCAGAACCTTGGCAAAAGCATTTCTATTAGATTTAAGCATATTTGGTCCATTAATAAATGGGCTAAAGAGAAATGGAGATATCCATCAACGAGCATATTCACTTTTCTAATAATTAACTACATTCTTATGCTACTCAAGAGAATTAGCACACTGCCAACTGCAGGAAAAACAAATAAAGCCCTAGCATTGGGCCAGAATATCAACATCTCTAAACAATAAGAATCATTTAGAAGTTATGTTTAGTTGCAAATACAGTACTCAGAATGATAATCCAACTAAGTATTCACTGGAAGCAGGAAATAAGTCCTTTCGTAATGAAATATTGAACCCGAGCAACAATAAAAGATTTCAAAAAAATCCAAGATATACACCCTTTAAATCTACATACATATAATTGCATATAAACGAAGGGTCTATAATTAACTCACAGGCAAAAAGCAGAATGTTAGACATTACAAAAAAAATCTACCTTAATTTTCTACCAGAAAGCACCCAAAGCAGAATTGAAATATTTTAAATAACTTGAATTATATGAACTATACTAATGGAATTGCACTACAAAAAGGTGTAATACAGGATAACTGGTTGTCTTTTAAACAACTTATTCAGCTATCTTCATGGAAAGGAACCATTAAGAAGAAATACTTCCTATCAAGGGTATTAGATTGACAGTATTCAGCTCAGCTATTGCTGTTGTACACACTGCATCCACAGCAGGCAGCATAAAAGATACCTTTTCTAAGCCTTGAGGTACCACCTGGGGCTATTTCTGATGCCTTCAAAGGTCAAAGTTAATAGTGAGAACAGAGCTCTTCTGCCTCTTTGAAATGACACCAGATAGCTGAACAACCATGTCTGATCTGCACACTGCACATAGAAACCAGTGTTCATCCAATCAATTCAATAATCACATATTTGTATCCAGGAAATAGCTCATTATACAGCATGGACAAGTGCCCAGGTATAAAAATTACATCTAATTCAAAAGCTTGTCTACTCCAGAATGGCAAATAAAATGCCTTAGTGAAACAAAAATTCCACCGTTTTCCTCCTGCCCCTTAACACAGCCATACAAAGCTAATAATCAAAATGTATGGGTAATTAATTAACAATTACCCAGGTGATTCTTTCCACCTTTGCAGCACGTAACACAGTACCACCATCTAACACAGCGGTCGCCAACTGGTGGGCCGTGAGAAAATTTTGGTGGGCCGCAGAGAAATCTCATCCCCAGAGTACCCCCCGCCAAAGCAATTAATCCAGGCTGCACAGAAACAGAAGGCTGCGCCGCCCACATGGCCCGCGGGAGCCCTCCCGCCCACTCACTCCTTACCCAGTAAACTTGCCTGCTAAATTGCTATTTTTCCTTTTTCCGACCATCATCTGTTCTGCTGTGCTGGGAGATTTAGATTAGCTAGGAAGCAGGAAATGGTTGGATTTCTTGCTTTCTAGCTAGTCTTTAGATCTTCGGCTTAGCACAGCCGAACCTCCGGCAAGCAAATTTGAGAGACTGAGCTAGCTGATGGCAGATAGATAGATCACTGAATGATTCTGTGAGCAACTCAATCTGCCTGCTTTGCCTGATTTTGTGTAAAATTTGCTCTTTTTTATAAAAAAAATCAATATTTACATGCATGGTGTGTTGTGAGCTAATTTTGTGAGTTTGCTTGCAAACAAATTTTATGTGACAGACTGAGCTAGCCAATGGCAGATAGATAGATCTCTGAATGAATCTGTGATTCTGTGAGCAACTCAATCTGTCTGCCTGCTTTGCCTGATTTGGGGTAAAAGTTGCTCTTTTCTAATAAAAAATTCAATATTTATATAAATATTTATAATATATACATACAAGCCATGCCCAGTCACATGACCACCAAGCCACACCCACAAATTTGGCCACGCCCACAGAACCGGTTAGTGGTCCCTGGGATCTAAAATTATGAGTTTGGTGGTCCCTGAGGTCCAAAAGGTTAGCGACCCCTGATCTAACAGACCTACCTGCAGGGACAAGTGAAGATTTTTTTCTGAGTGGCTAAGCAATTAATATCTTCCTTTAGACCAGAGACATTTTCTGGAGTACAAAGGTAATTGTCCCAGGAATTCATTTCATTGCCTACATTGACAGAGCCAAATGTTCATATTATTTTCACCTACTATGCATTCAACTGACCATCCAATGAGTCCAAAATATTACTTTTCTCTGTTTTTTAGGTAAAGGATTCAACAGGCACTGGCTTTGCTTGGGAATTTACCATTTAAGCATGGTATTTATCTTTTATTTATTTATTACATTTATTCAGCCATATATCTCGCAAAAATATGACTCTGGATGGATGACATGCAATTTATTAAGGCAATGAATTTATAAAAACAATTATTACTAAAATTACAAAACAGTCATTATTTAAATATAAAAACCACATGGCCCAAGGGGGAGTGAATATCAGCCACAGTGATAGAGCCATCTAAACATTTCACTGGTCCCTTGGGATTCCCATAGCCAGGTCTTAAGGGACTTCCTGAACATTAATAGGAATGACGCTAACTTCACTCCTTGTGAGTTTTGGCTCATTAGAGCTTTAGCATAGGGATCTCCAACCCCCAGTCTGTGAACCATCGCCGGTCTGCGGCAGGCCAGAAACCAGGATGCGCAAACAAGCAAAGCCCTATCCACAGGATGCAGGCAGTATGTGAAACCACGCTCCCTCCGGTCCACGGAAAAACCTCTCCAAGGAACTGGTCCCTGGTGCCCAAAGGTTGGGGGCCACTGCTTTAGCACAGTACCTGTGTAAAGGAAAGCTGTAATCATCCTCAAAAGGAGGCATTCCATTATTAGACAATACTCAGTAACATGGGGAGGAAAAAAATCAAATCTGCTGCCACAATGCGGTTCATAGATTTCAAAACCAAAAAAACAGTGCAGAGAAAAGTGCTCACTGCCAACTTCTTCATGTTTTCTACTGCAGAGCACAGTCGAAAACAGAAGTTATGATAGGCAAGCATGATTAGTAAATGCTTTGTGCCCTTAAAGAGCAGCAATTACAGGCATGTGAAGAGAAGGAAAAGAAGCCCCTGAGATGCTCTCCGTCACATGCCTCCCAAGAGGCAGCAGGCCATTAAAATTCCATGATGTAGAATCAAAAAAGCCTGGGAACAGCCAGGAGGCAATACAGCAAATTAATATACCAACCATCTCCAGGGAAAGAGACAAAAAAAAATGCAGAAAACTCTCTTCACATTGGAAAATAAAATTATACTACTAATGATAACAGCCACCAAACACACACAGACGCAGAGTACTTCTAATGATGGGTGTGGAATTCCCAGTGCTGCTTCTAATGCTTTGAGAGAAGTCTCAACACATCACAGACAGAAATCTAGAAAAGAAATCTTGCTATAGTACAATTTATACAGTCTTTTAACTGCATCTTCCAAGGAAACCTCAACAAAGCCATCTCCTTGACACTAAAGAGCTCCTCCTTGCACACTTGTGGCCTCGTATGCAACAATCTAGCTGGCGGCTCTGTTTAAATGAAGCAGTGGGTTACCAGGTAATCACTACGCTACCAAAATAAACTGAATCATAAACCATTTGAGAGGCAAAGAAAATATGGGCTATGATACAAGGCTCCCTCCCTCCCTCCCTCCCTCCAGGATCTGCTTGACAGCAGTACTTCCAGTAATATCATACATCTGGCAAAGGCAGGCAGAACTAGCAAAAATAAAAAATGGCAGTCTAAAAAAATTGGGAAACAAATTGGTAAAATAGAGTGGGATAGAGAACTGCAACCAAAACTAACTGCAATTTCTGAAAATTATTTATTCATGTTTCTTTCATTTAGTGAAAGAGGAAAATCATTTATTTAACTGAGAAAAGACTATGCTAAATATAGTGTTATTTTTTTTGGGGGGGGGGGGGGGGGACTGAATATTTTGTACCTTTAATTGAAAATTCAGATTCTTACAAGAGAATTAACAGAAATATAGAATATGTGAATAGAATATAGTACATGAACAGTGATGCATGATGCAACAAATTTGGAGACTGAAATTTGGTTAATAGAGTCCATTAAGTGTTACCAGAGATAAACAACATATCTATTTTAATCTTAACCAAGTAAACCAACGTTGTATATGTTCCTTTTCTAACATCTTGATCTTTAGTCCGTTCAACTAATGTCCTCGAACTTAATTTCTTTTCGTTTTTTCTTTGTCTCTTCTCACAAAATTCCTCTTTTGAAAATCCAATATAGGAAAATTATCAGGTCACTCTCTCAATTTCTTATTGGTACATCCCTTTTAATTATTAAGACAACAGCAGGTTTCTTTTGTATATTCTGTGTAGTATCTATTTCCTTGTCATTCTTGTAGCCTGCCATTTTTAAATCCACTTTCAAATCAATATTAAGCTTGTCAGATAACAGTTGTTCCTCTTCCATAACAAATTTTAAGCATAATCTATCTATATCTTAAAATTAATTTCTGGGTCCAATGTTCAAAAATATCCTTCAATATGTCCAATGTTAAAATATTTTGCTTCGTTCTGTAAGTCAAATTTCAGTGATATTCTCATTTAATTGTAATCTTTAGCTGCTTCTAGTTCCCTCTAGTGTTCAATTTTAAACATTTAATCTCATGTTTTTTAAATTCAAAACAAAGGCATTTTCCCACGGGAAAGATTCTTATAATCAATTCCCAATTTATTTATTTTTTTCAAATTTGTCTAGAGCCTTATTCCATTTGTAACTTTCTAAATCAAAGTTTTAATCATCCTTTTGCTGGTTATTTAAAAAAAAACCTAAGTTCATTTAAAGCTTATTTTCCTAAGGACTGAAGGAAATTCACTCAGTACTGAAAAGCTTGTCAATCCAAAGGTTCCTAATAAGTGAAAAGCAGTAACAAGTAATTTCTAAAAGTGATTAGAAAATGAGGTATACAAAACTAGTGCCTTTTTAAGGGTGCCAACTGTGTTTTGAACAAGATGGCTATTTCCTCATCTTGCAGATCTCTAAACTGGTCAGGCACTACTGTCTTGCAGTCTCCTCATGAGCAGCAACTGTCTGGAGTTACTCCTGGGTGATCTCAAGTCCTCCCCTTCTCTGAAAAGGAATTATGAAGAGCTGGTCTACTTGCTGGCTTTTCATCCCACATGGTCATCGGCTCCACTTTTCATGGAGCCACCTTTTTTCTGCCGTTTCTTTCCAAAAAGTCATACAGCAGGCCTTATAAATTAAAACTGCTAAACTAATTCTTGAATGTCATTGCTTCTTCCCTATCCCTTGGTTTTTGTAACATCTTGTCAACTGAACAGTTCTTTAAAACTGTATGCATTTTGATCAAATAATCATTATAAATATTTGGTTGGTCCTAATAAAGGTACATCCCATGGTGTTTTCTCCCCGTAGAGCAGGGGTGTCAAACACGTGGTTCACGGGCCAGATCAGCCTGCAATAGGGCCAGAGTTGACCCATGGGGCCATCCCAGATATGGCGAGGGACCGGCCTGTGCCCAGCCCATCCTGACCGTGCCCACCCAGTCAGCTGCGATGGCCAGACCATGCCCACCCTGACCCCTCATAAGCAAACAAAATCCTAATACAGCCCATGATGGGATTGAGTTTGACACCCCTGCCATAGAATAATGGGTGTGAATATGATTGTGTTTCATTATAGTGAGTACTTTTAATGCTTTCTTGTACAAAGCTCTTTTGCTTTTGTAAAATTCTTGTCTATCATATATTTACTTTCATGATTATTATTCATCTTGGATATCCATCCAAGGTTCTCTTTAGAAATGATAGAAATGAAATTTTGGATAAATATATTGTATGTTTTCAGACCTATATGTTCCAAAACCAACAAAAAAGTACCATTCCATGTGATGTGAAAACAAAGCATGTGATTACCTGGCTGAGCAGTGTGCTGGTGAGCATCTTCGGTGTGAAGCATCAGCAAGAACATCCAAGGAATACAGTGGAGATAATGGACTAAACTATAAATTTAAAACACAGGTAGTTAATAACATGCCAAGTTATATCATCTGAAAAAAGATGCTTGAATTCAATCCTATAAAGTGTATGACTATTTATGGTATCATCCAGTATAGTGAACTCTGAGTCAATCCCACATCTACCAATTGTGCGTCTAACGTATTTGCCCCAATTGAGAACCAGTTGAGAACCAAATGTTTTTCTCCTGTTTTAAGATAACATCAGGAATTCATCTTCACAACCCAAATCTCCAAGATACAGTATCTCCAGAGTATTGGAAAATATTATTTTTTTGGCTATCAACCCTATTCTCATTTGTACACGGTTTCTTACAAATCGGTTAACAACCTTGTCATGAGCCCTGACAGCTTGGAAACTGTCATAAATGCCTCTTTAATATTACAAACAGAACACTGACAGAGTGACATAACGTAACAGCAGAAGCTGTTATTAAGAATGACATAAGGAACTGAATGTATTAGCTTTACCAGCAGAATAAATTATTTATCAGAAACAATTAACAAGGTATACTCTATTTATTTATTGTATATGAGCTATTGGAAAACCAAAACTTATTCACAGATATATTTTCTTCTTGAAAACAAAGCAGTGACTGAAGTTCTTTTAAAAGCTGTGAGCTGTTCAAACATTAAGCAAAGCAAGTGGCACAGCCGTCCTTAGAGTAAAATCAATAGAGTAGCATATTCTTGTATGTTAAAAACTTTTCTCTGGGTGTATATTAGAAGTAGTTTACCTTAGATATTTCTATCTGATAAGTCAAATTTGCATATTCATTTGGAGATTTCAAGATGGGAAATCATTCAAACATGCAATTCCCAACTGCCTTGCTTAATTTTTAGATCAACTCTATCTTCAGAAATGCCTTCTGACAAAAGACAGTGATGAAAAACATAAAGATCATATTACAAACTCCATCTTCATTAGTCCTGCAAAATTTTAATGTTAGCGCCATTTTCTATCTCCTTCCTAATTAACTCTGTCAAAAAAAAAAAATCCTTGTTTTAATTTTGAAGACAACATTCTTCAATTATTACAAGATCTTTCTACCAAGGAAGCGTAAGTTGTAACAAAAACAACTAGAAAAAATAAATGCTCAAGCCTGCTATAATTAAATAATCCCATTAAATTAGCTCATTTGATCACAGATTCTAATATCCAAACATATGGTAAAGAGGACATTTCCCTCAGATTCATAAAGGAGCTCTCCTTTCTTTTGCATCTGTCTGTCTCTCTGTCTAGAACAGGGGTGTCAAACTGGCAGTCCGCAGGCCAGATGCAGCACACGCAGGTCACGCCCACCCCGGCTTCATAAAGGCAAAAAAATATTGCGATACACCACGTAACGCGATCGAGTTTGATACCCGTGGTCTAGAAAGTACAAATTCACCCAAAAAAGGTCTGATTGTAATATCTGACTTTCAACAGTCCTAGATATGTAAAACAAAAGTGAGTTCAGAAAAAGAGTGTTTGGTAAAATTTTAACATTATTTAGAGTGAAACAAAACGGGTTGGTACTGAACAGAACAAGCACTGCTGATTAAAACTGAAAATGAGAGCTGCTTTTCTATTAAAAGATGAAATATGATTTCATTTTACTAGCATAAGTGGTACATGAACTAATCTGCACACTCAGAAATTAAACACATAACAGGTATAAGTTTGTTGAGATTTTGACATCAGTGGGCATCGATGTAAACACTATATGATCATAAAACAATATCATAACTAGAATTCCTGTTTCTCTGCTTCACAATTGTATGTAAGTAGGTATTAGCATGATTGAAAATGTAGCTATAAAATATGGTAAGAAAGTGGAAAAATTAGGAGACTGCATAGAGACTGAAAAGTCATAAATACAGAAGAATTGACAGAAACATGCAAATAACATTTGCAGCTACAAAGAAAATTGTAGAAAGCTAACATTTTGGGGTTCTATTTGGTACAAGGAGCCATAGTGGTCTGCTGGACCAAAAAATGGGGCTGCCTTACCTCTTGGACCCAGGCTGCAATGTGGAAGAAAGTGGAAGCCAGCACTTTGTTCTTTCTAGAGAGATAGAAATCAAATGAGAGAATATACAAAGTAGAGCCAGCTTACCTGGTTGCGATCTCTCATTCCCATTGATGGCAACCAGAAACTAGAGATGGTAGGAGAGATGAAGTTGAACGGAGCAGGAGAATAGAGTTGGAAGAAATGAAGAAACAAAGAAAATGTGATGCATAAAGAAGAAAAGAAAAAGATTAAATATCCATGTTAGGCAGATTTGCTAAAGTTATAAGACAATAGGAATTAATCTAAATATTAATGGATGACAGAAAATTCAATCCAATGGAGCACATCCACAGGAAGCCACATTATCTTTACACTCACCCAAGATGAGATTATTAGGGTATTACAAATACTCTCTTTTTAGAAAGGTAAATTTCAGTATATCACCCATCAAAAACCTATGATTAGGATAATCTAACACCAGGAAAATATTATTTCAAAAATGCTGAAATGTTTACTACTAAGGTATCCTTTCTATTATAACTAAGCAGCTATACTATTTAGCATTAACATCCCTTTTGTTTATTTGTGTTGGGATTTTGTGTTTTTTTTATACATGCACATTTAAAAAAACTAAAGTATATGATTCAACTAATAGGGAGTAGTCCAATAGCCATTATTAAAAGGAGGGGGGGAACAGGAATACTGTATCAATATAGAAGGGCAAATACATTATCACTTCCTCAAATGGCAGCTCCTTATTATTTGTTTAAATTTCAGGACTGCCTGATTTAAACAACTCTGGGTAGCTTACCAATGAAAGGAAAACAGCCTATATCTAAGAAAAAGAATCCAACTGATTAGAAGCCAGAATAAAAAAATCAAAGGGACTCAACCACATCTCAATCCAAGACTTCGGAGGACAAGAACTCGCAGAAAAACTAAGGGATTAGAAGAATGTGGATATCAGGGGGGATGTCATTGTAGGATAACAGCAGCTATTGCCAAGAAGGCATAGCAACATGACACTGCTTAATCAATAGGATCCAAAGTGTATCCTCAATAGCTGATCTCACTGAACAAGCAGGAGACAAGTGGTCCCTCAAGGAACCAAGCTATATGACATGAAGAGGCAGCAACCAGCATCTTGAATTGCCAACTGACAGCCAGTGCATCTCAAAAGCAACAGGGACACACGTGTGTGGACCGTAATAATTTCAATTCAATTGTATAGAATGTGAAGGATGTGTGTTTGTGTTTTATTTTTCTAGTTATAATGTACACTGAAGGTCACATTTAATTTCATTGTACGAGGTTCAATGACAATAAAGTAAACTAACTAACTAAACTAAACTAACAAACACACATTACTACATACCACTGCACTGCAATCTGGGTCATTTTAGCTTCCGAGAGGTTTTCAAGGACAGTCCCATGTACCACACATTATAGTGGCCCAATCAAGAGTAAACAAGAGACAGGTGGCTATCTGAAGGGCTATCTGAAGGGCTTCCTGGAAGAACCTATGTGAAGGCCTTCTTGGCCACAGTTGCGACCTTCTTTTGGAACAGGAATTAGTCCAAATGAATTGGGGTGGGTGGGTAGTCAAACAAACACAGCCATTGCTCGCTGAAATATGCTGAAACAATTTCCTTCAGCATTCCTATAAAGTGAAAAACAAATCTAATTCTTTATTATGAGAAGAAGCGCCCACAGGATCTGATGCTTTCACATATTCAGGCAGCACTATGATATACATATAAAGGGCTGGAGCTTGCAGTGTGCTACTGCTTTCATCATTTCAGCCCCTTTCCCAACACTCCCTATGGATGCCTCCACGGACAGACTTTCATATTTGAACTACGACATACATTATAATAAACTTAAACTAATGAATATTTGCTTCCTGCCCAACCCCCAAGTTCTAGATCTTTATCTACTGTGCCCAGGTGCTTACTCTTTTTGGCAGGAATCACCAATGATGTGGCTAATCCTCTCAGTACCCATTGCATTCATGATGGTCTCCTGAAACACAAAGTAAGAGGGGGAAAGACTAAGACTAAAACTACACTGACTCACTTACTGAAACCTAAGTCAGCCTCAACTAACTATAAGTAGAGTGGGGTAAAAGCAGGGGTGGGATTCAAATTTTTTAACAAACGGTTCTGTGGACGTGGCTTAGTTGGTGGGCGTGGCTTGGTGGTCATGTTATTGGCGGTCATGTTATTGGCTGGGCATGGCCAACTCAATATCACTCACATCGAGGCATGCATCTCCTCGCCTGGCCTCTCATGACTGTGGGGATTCTGCAACAGTCGTAAGGGTGAAAAACAGCCATAAGTCATTTTTTTCAGTGTAACTTTGAATGGTCACTCCACACAAGCAAAGTACCAGCAAAAGAGGGGAAAAATAACTCCAGAGAAGTTCCTGAGACAGGAAGCCTAGTCCTGCCAAGAATGTAATAAGGGTTAACGGAGAGGCAGTTTCTGTAAGCAACACCAGAATGTTTCCTTCCTGCCTTCCTTACAGGATTAGGCCAGTAATTTCTTCTAACAACCGGTTCTCCGAACTGCTTAGAATGTTAACAACCGGTTCTAGCAAATAGGTGAGAACCTGCAGAATCCCTGGGTGAAAGTGCTGTTTTGATCCAAAAAGAGCATGCAAGACTTCTTGGGCAGCGGAAGAAGAGAAGGAGAGAGGAAAGGAAAAGTGTGTATGAAATGGTACAATCTTTTATGGGATAAGAAACCATTTTCAGCTTTTTCAGTATCAGAGCACAGTTTCAAAATGACTGCCACAGAAATGGCATTAATGATATAAAACAATTGCCATAAATATGTGGACACTTTTAAGAATGAATTCAATTAACACAATAACACTGTTCTTTTCCTCCAATTCAATCCCACAAAAAAGCCTAGATACATAGCAAAAATAAAGCTCCATGATTCCTCTCTGGGAGGAAAACAAAGGCCATAAGGCTTGCTTCAGCACCACTCATCTCCAGGGAAGAATAGCAAAACTACTATTAAACACTGCTATTAAAATAAGGCAACAGCAGTAGCGAGAATGAAGGTACGAAAGTAGAAGAGCTACAAATGCTACACCTTCCTCTGTCAAGCCCTGCAAACCTGACAAACTCAAGAAACAAGAACCACTTGGTTTCTGGAAAGATCAATGTTGCTAGCAGGGTGATATAACAGAATCATGGAAGCCTATCAGAGAAATTCTCCTGCTCAATTTATACCTAACAATAAGTAAAGCACAGTTGCTTTGTGCCTCTTTCTTAAGCTTCTCCATTCTCCAGAGTTGAGGTGTCTCTTTTTGGAACTCCTCCTTCACTTCCCCAAGGTCTGTTATACATTCCATCACATTCTCCTCTAAACAGATGTGCTAAGTTGGCCAGCAAATTGAGGCTGCGGTCATAACCAGGGGTGGGATTCAAATTTCTTAACAACCGGTTCTGTGGGTGTGGCCTAATTTGTGGGTGTGGCTTGGTGGTCATGTGACTGGGGGTAGGAGTGGCTTGCTGGTTGGACGTGGCTACGTGGTCATGTGACTGGGGTGGGCATGGCTACATGGTCATGTGATGGATGGGCGTGGCCATGTGGCTGGCAACCCAAATTTAAGTGGTCCTCGCTTAATGACCAGGTGCTCGCTGAGTGGCCAATTGCTTAGTAAGTGCTTTTTGCCAGTTTCCAAGGCCTGGAGAAGCCCAGGCAAGGCCCGGGCAGGTGGCCATATGGTTGGCAACCCAAATTTAAGTGGTCCTCACTTAATGACCAGGTGCTCGCTGAGTGGCCAATTGCTTAGCAAGTGCTTTTTACCAGTTTTCAAGGCCTGGGGAGGCCCAGGCAAGGCCCGGGCAGGTGGCCATGTGGCTGGCAACCCAAATTTAAGTGGTCCTCACTTAATGACCAGGTGCTCGCTTAGTGGCCAATTGCTTAGCAAGTGCTTTTTGCCAGTTTCCAAGGCCTGGCGAACCCTGAAGAGGGCAAGGCGAGGCGCAGGCAGCTACGGGAAGGGCTGCAGAGGGCTGGGCGAGGCCAACTCATCACGTTTTTTGCCCTAATGACTAAGTATTAAAAAAGATATACCAAAACAAAAGGTAGTTTATTATGTCATGTCTTTAATGCTTAAATAATAAAAAGGTACACAAAACTATATTGTTACAACATTTTAAAATATTAATCAAAAACTATTACATAACAAAACTTTACAAAAAACAAAACTTATTTAAAGTACTCCCAAATTGTTTTTCTATTATCGTCCTGAGTTACAGTTTTCTTGTGTTTAACACGAGCATCATCAGCTGTGCCAGTAACCACCTCTTTACTATAGGAACAGGGTCCCATTCTTGCACAGGTAAGCCAATTAGACTGATGGTCAGAAGGTTTGTAATATTGGAAATTGTAAGGCGACTTCTGCCTTCTGAACATATTATGTTCATCTGTGAGAAGCTCCTTTCCACCTCTGCTGAACTGACTGCAATAGTTTTAATATCTCTAGCCTTTTTAATGCTGCAAGGAATTGTATAATTTTTAGAATCTTTTAGTACATTTTCTATGAAATCACGAATAATCATTAATATTGATTTCATAATTGAAAATTTGACCAAATGCAACCAATTGTCCTTCAGCTGCTCTCCATGGAACCACCACTTCTTCAATGTTCCAATAATCTGGCTCCAAATAATTTAGAAATTTTAATTGATCAATGTCTTTAAATTGGCAGCCTGTCTTTAAATATTCGCAATCCATCAATCTTTTCTTCAAATTAGTTACAATGCTTTGTATAAGTTTTTCACGAGGAAGTCCCACAAATCAATTATTTTGTATAAAATTTATATTTTTAAAGGTTTCTGAAGTAATTAATTCATCAACCTTATTTTCGTATGAACCCTTTTCCTCTATAAGCATTTCAAATGATCTAATTGATCTTAGCACAAGTTTTTCAGCCTTTATAATGTCTATGTTTCTCGCTTGCAATGCATTAGAAAGGAGAGATATTTCAGTTACCACATTAGTCATCAAGGCCAAATCAGTGAGAAAATATGAGTTTTCAGGACGGGCAGCCATATCAGAGTATTTTTTATTTGAACAGAAAAATTGATGTAGCGCTGGATAAGCCTGCCACACAGCTAGGGTTGATCTTAAACTACAGGCAGCCCATCTTGGTCCAAAAACTCTACCAATTTTTATCATTTCAATCTCAAGTTGTTCGGAAATTTTGTTAAGTTCAATTAGATTCTTATTCGATTGATGGAAAATAGAATATATTTTATCAATAAAAATTTGAAAATGATTGATTTGCTTTATTTCCCTAATAGAATCATCTAAAACAGGGGTCCCCAACCACCGGTCTGTGGACCGGTACCGGTCCGTGGATCATTTTGTACTGGGCCGCAAAGAAAATAAAAATAAAAAATAAAATAAAAATGGCGGCTTTCTTCGCCTTCGGTGAATGCTGCTGGGATCAGGGATCAAGAACACAAAGGAGAGAAGGGGAGGGAGGAAGCAACCGAAGCCTGTCCTGCTCTCCGGCTCAGCGGCTTCGGTTTCCTCCCGCCTCGTTCCTCTCTCAGTCGCTCTCTCGCTCCTCCACCAGCCCAGGAAGAAACTGC